TCGATGGCTTTCGGCGACTTTCGACTGCCTGGATTTGCCATTCATTCGTCACATCCCCACCCGTACCTTATTTTTCAGTTTCATTTTTTTATTGATAATATACCGTTTTTTATCTTACATTGTACTCCTGTCTGGTATACCTCCATGTTGCTACTGTGCTTTAAATGTATTGTTTTATGTGTACACTCAAGGTGCTTGAGGTTGGCGATCAATAGAAACATTTTATTTTGGAGGACGTGCGTTTCTCTAAGAACCAGGCCTGGTTGCCGAACGATATGACCCTTGCTACTCTCTACAACTAAACGCGTCACATACATCGAATTCGCCTCCTAAGCTTTATTGCGCAACTAGTCCTACAACTATACCCATCAAATCTTGAGGGTGGCGGGGATTACATAGAAGCCATCCTTTTTTTGCGGCGGTGTTTTTAGCCGGCACGCACCTAGCGGGGTGGGCATATCCAACGGGCGGGCTGCATAAATGTGACACACACCAGGCGTTTTCGACCAGCGTGGGTATGCAATGGAACAGCACCAGCCAAACATGACTAATCTTATTGAGAAGCGCATCGACCAAGATTTGCATCCAACAGCCCGGCAAAAGACGGAGCAGTTCAACAGTTATCCCCTCTGTTTTTCAGAAGCATGAGCATGAGAGCCAGAGAGACAAATAATAACACAGAATCTTTTGGCATACTGACTTGTTTCAACGGCTACGCTGACGCCCTTATAGCAATAGTCAGACTTAAGAACAGAGATGCTGTGGGTCATTGTGCAATCATTACCTGGGAGGAGTCATATTTCAAGGAAAATGATACTGAATTCATGCCAAAACAATCACCAAAGCCAAATGAGTCCACACCCCATGACAGAGGGACAGTTTCATTGGAAGAACATTGAGAAAGAATTATGGTGCAAGAAGTGAAAAAAGCAGGAATGTACAACACACACACACACACACACACACACACACACACAGTGTGTGCTACAGTAGCTGGAGCATTTGAAAACCTTTGATCACATACAGTACCAGTCAAAAGTTTGGACACACCTTTTCATTCGAAGGTTGTTATTTATTTAGATTATTTTTTACATTGGAGATTAATACCGAAGACATCAAAAAACATAATATGGAATGATGTGGTAAACATTAAGGTGTTAAACAAACCAGTATATGGTTTAATGTACAATGTTGATTATTCTTTCAGAACTAGCAAAATACATGGGTAAAGGTTCTACTTGAGCCCAATTTGAATACCATAAAGAAAGTATTAAAGCCAGCTCAAGCTAAATGTCAAGTTGTACATATTTCAAAACACGAAGTGTAATAACTGCAGTTTGCCTCCCTGTCAGAATGACAAAGCCCTCAGTGAAGCACAAGCCCATGTTTTTCACTAATTTGTTATTGTTCCTCAGTTACAAGGTTGTTGTTTTAATAAATCAGATACTGATGGTGCAAGGCTGTACTGTACCTCTTTATATAGGCTTTTTGTCCCTGATGCTGATCAGGGGGTACTTGGCTGAGATTTTTTTCAAAGGGGGTACATTATTGAAAAAAGTTTGAGAACCACTGTAGTAGAGGAACCCAGCTTGTATTGATTGTGATTGAAACACTTTCTTATTTATTATTTTGTAATATTTTCAAGACATTCTTTTGAGTTTTACAGCTTATTGAACCTTTTTGTTTGACTTCAGCCATTATAGATAATATGGCCTTCTGAGTGTGTGTGGTACTGTTTGTGGTTTGTTTTTAACTGTGTAATAAAGTTAATTATTCAAAATGTTAGAGTTCCTTATTTTTGAACTGAAACTTGCAATACTGTTCAAAATTTAATAAAAAACAGACCTGGAATTATGCATTTGGGACTTTTTTTTGCTTTTTCTTGTTGTACCGAACTGTGACCCCCAAACCGAGGTACATACCGAACCGTGAATTTTGGTCTGTTGGCTGGAAAAAAGGCATCTGAATGCATCAACTTGCAACAGGCATTTTTATTGCTATTTTAAAAATAATGATTTTTGAAAGTAAATCTCAAAATAACATTGATTTAAGGTAAAGATGATGCAGTGTTTCCCCTGAATTGTAAGTTCATGCACAAACTAGTATGCAGTGAAACTTCTCAATTAAAGTACTAGTTAATCTCAATTGTACAAAACTAGAGTAGTTTCTTTCCCTGCTTTTAATGAGTACTTAACTTTCAACGTACAGAACATTTCTACCCGTTAAAACGCCTGATTGAATGTTCGTTATGTCACAGCATCGAGCTCATTGGTGTGCAGAGAGGAAGAGGAGCGTAGTCTGCTGCCTCTGGAGAGGGGTATGATGATTTTCCATGTCAATGGTCTCCTCTCAGCTCCAGGAAAGAGGAAATAATATGAGGACTGTTGCACGGAGGCTCCGAATTTAGAAAAAGTGTCGGAATGGAAAAGCGACGCCCTGTGACTTTCACACTGCACAGAAAGGAGAAAACTGGAGATGAAGTGGGAATTAGGAAACATGGATTGGGGTTTGAGATAAGCCACAGGTAGAACTGGCCATTTATCTGCAGCTCGATAAACAAATAAGGCATTTTCCAGCAATGCATGAGCACAGTAAGCTTCAGTGTGTTTTCGTACATGCAGAGCGTATCTTTAGGTGTATAAAGTGGGGCCTTTATTACCTCAGCTCGAGTATTTTAGTGTGCCGATGCTGTACAGTAATCCATAGGAAGCCTGGATACAGCGGGATACTTGTGCAGTGCAGCAGTTATTACCTTGTGGTATGCAGAGCCCCCTGGCATGCAAACTTTTGACAAGCACTTGTGATTTTACTGCTGAGAGTGGGAGTAGAGTCGACTCAGAGAGGTGAAGGAGGTTCAGTAAAAATATTCAAAGCCAATACAATTTCAGACCTGCCCACGTATTGCTCCAGTTTTCAAGATGTTTTTATTAACAGAGAGCAAGAGCAACTCTCTGATATCAGCCTTTCCTTTGTTGTTGTTTTTGCATGATAATCTGCATGCTTTAGAAATCCTGCTTTCTACTATTTTGTTTTGTCTGCTCTCCGAAACATTATTGATTTGCACTCGGTAATTACTGAAACTGAAGCTGTCTGTTTAAAAAAAAAATGTACTCACTAAGTTTTACGGATTAATTGATGCCAAATGTCAAAATCTTTGCTTGGATTGCAGAACACATTATTCTAGGAGGACTCTGAGTTAGTAGTGTGTTGTATAGGTTTTTGTGCATGTAAATGGGCTAAAATCACTTCAGTAACACAGTGGCATCCCAATGTTACACTTGCACTTCTATTGGCTAGCGCTCTAACACATTGTACGTGATAGGCTAAGGGGCGGGACATCTCTAAGCAGTTGACCAATCACAACAGAGCAGGCTAGCTAACCAATCAGAGTAGACTGGGCTCTGGTTTCAGACAGAGGGTGAAAAGACAGGCAGTATGAGAAAAATAAAGAGCTTTTTGAACATTAAAGCATGGAGACATGTCACAGTAGAGACACTACAGACTAATATGAACCTGAAAATGAGCATTGTATGTTATCTTTAAATAGAGATGGAATAAATAACTCCCTTCTGTCTTCCTGCAGGCATGGAGCAGAGGTGAGAGTCGACCCATGGATGTCCAGTTTCCTGCAGTGCAGCAGCAGCATGATGATAACAAACCAGCCACAGACTCCATCTTTATATCTATTGCCATGGTGAGAGAGAGCTACTGGACTCTGTTGCTATGGTGACCCTGTAACAATCTGTTGCCCCCGGTGACCGCATGAATAAAAGACCCAGGTAACTTACTCCAATCCGCCGCCGCCATGCTGTAGAGAGGCTCCCCCTGTGAAGTCTTACCAGTTGCTATGGTTATCCTGTAGCCATTAACAGTCGCCATGGGAGATTATAAAGTGTAGTAGCCCACGTCACATGCCTATTCATTTGATTGTACACTGTATATGCCACCTAGACTGACCGTTTTATGTGTGTGTGTAAGCGGTGACTGCGTTGTGTTTGTGTTGTTCATGGATGAGACCAGAGCCAGCATACAGTCGAGGCGATCTCCATTTATTCACTGACAATTTACAACAAATCAGCATTAAATTAATTATCCCTCACACTGACTCCTCTCACGTGGGACATTTACAAAAAGGGAAGAGGAAACGTGAGGGACACAATATGAAGGGGAAGTCCTCACAAAAATAGTCTCCTAAATACAGTAAATACATTCTGGAGGTTCCGCCCACTGATTCGAGACCTAGGTATTGAACAATTAATTAATAAAGAACACAGAATTATTTAATACAAAACACAGAATTTGTTTGATTATACTAAATTATTTATAAAGAAATATTTAACACTAAACACCACTGCATATTTATTACAACTGTTACATGTATATATTTGAAAACATCAATATATATTCAACAGTCGCCATGGGAACTTCCAGGATGTTCCGCATCTTCGTGGTCCTGGGCTCGGTTTTCATGATCCTCCTCATCATCATTTACTGGGACGATGTGGGGGCCTCTCACCTGTACCTGCACCACCGTGTCCCCGCATGGCCCCAGGATCCCCCCGCCCCCTCCCCCCCGCCAGCAGCCTCACACCTCGCGGACGCCATCTTTCCTGTCCGACATCGACGCCTTCGTCAACCAGTTCCTGGAGCCGGGTACCGGAGAACCCACTGATCCCGCCCCCGCCGACTCTGGTAACCAATCAGAGAAGGCCGAGGAGCGGTACATTCCACGGAGGGAGTGGAAGATCCACCTGAGTCCGGTGGCAGCCGAGCTCCGAGAGAGACAGGTGGATATCTGAATTTATCATTATATATCCCAAAGATATTGAAGTGACTGTTATTTTGTATATATTGCTTTTTTGTGTGCATATGTTTAAATGTGTCTGTTGGTTGTGTATATATACTGTAGGATATACGTATTTTATACATATTTGTATATATTTTTGTATTCGGGATTGTGGGAAATGGTATTTTGATCTGTCTGTACACACAAACGGAAAGATTGACAATAAAGTTGACTTTGATTTATAATAATAATAATAATAATAATAATGCATATCATTTTTAATAGCGCTTTTCCTGGTGCTCAAATACGCTTTACATACAATCAGAAACAGAAACCGTTCAAAGAAAACAAAAAAAACATAAACAGTACTCCTAATCCAAGTGCAAGTAAAGTGTGGTTGTTGTTGTTGTTGTTGATTAGAGATTGAAAGCTAAAGTGGAAAAAGTGAGTTTTGAGAGATTTTTTTGAATGATTCGAGAGTCTTGGCCTTTCAGGTGTGACTGGATTCATGGATCATTAAACGGGGTAGCTGTACCTCGGAGGTTTGGTGCACTCACTGTCTGCAAATAAGGGGGTCAGCAGTTCGATCCCTCCCCCTCCCACCAGCTTCAGTCAACATGTCAAAGTGTCCTCTGCAGGGTGTCCGCGGGGCCTTAAAAAGTATTAAAAGTTGATCAATCTATTTAGCGAAAATGAAGGCTATTAAAAAGTATTAAACGGTATTTTCCAAGGTATTACATTTTGTAGCTTGTTTTCAATAAGTATATAAATTGCCTGGTTATTGAGAACTTTGTGTGTTAGCAGAAGGATGTTGAAGTGTATTCGTTGACGGACAGGGAGCCAGTGCAGGTTTTGAAGGACGGGGGTGATGTGGTCTCTGGAGCGGGTGTGGGTGAGGAGGAGGCGGGCAGCGCAGTTCTGGATATATTGTAATTTAGAATTTTGGATGAAGAAACCATACAGGATGCTGCTGCAGTAGTCCAGTCTTGAAGTGATGAATGCGTGGATGAGGGTTTCAGCAGCCGGGAAGGAGAGTGAGGGGCGGAGGCGGGCAATGTTTTAAAAAAAAAACTAATACAGTTAACTAAAATAAGGAAACTGAATAATTATAAAATTACTATATGCAAAATACATGTTGTCAAGTAAAAATGTAATATTAAATTGATTAAATAAATACAAAACAATGAATAGCTCCAACAGTACCGTAGTAGTAGATGTTTAATTATTAAAGTTGGCTGGGTTTATTGGATGCATTTGAATTGTTCACACTGCAGGGAAGGTTTAAAATCAGATTCATATTCCAGTGATGTACAATAATTAAGAGATAATATTTCAGTATTCATAAATAGTATTTAAGTATGCAGGTAAGTCAGCCTGCAGCTCGCTCACTGGCATACTTAAATATCAACAGAGCCATCATTAATTCCAGCTCCAGTCCAAATTATGGCCATGAAAAAAAGCTGCTGCAGGAGGAATGAATACTCACCACTAATAATAAAACCTTTCTGTGCCTCACCACCACCAGGAGCAGCGGCGGAGATTACTTCAGGAGATGTGCGCTAACGACAGCGTTGTGTTTCCTGGCAAAAACCGCTCCTTTGACGACATTCCCAACAAGGAGCTGGATCACCTCATCGTGGACGACCGGCACGGCATCATCTACTGCTACGTTCCCAAGGTGCGCAAATGCCTGTGTGCTTTGCTAACATTTAATTTATACAACACACAAAAAGTATATTTGAAACTACAACTACACTTTGCACACATAATTGATATTTCTTAGGTTTGTACTGTATTTAGTAGGTAGTAGGCTATTATGGTGTTTTCTCATTTATTTGTATTTTGTTCTCTATCGATACTCTATCTTTCTATTGTTAATATTTGTATATTTACTGTTTATTTTTTTATTTGCAAATATCAGTGTTTCCTTGTTTATTCCGTTTTTATTCATTTCTATTTTATATGAGAATATATGTAAGCCTAAAGCTGAGGGAATGTATATTCATTTATTTGTTTGCGTTATGCACAAGTCTATTGATGGGACTTTCTTTTGATTTAAATAATTTAGTTTACCTTTTTTTATAATAAATATAGGGAATCTTTAACTGGAATTTCTTAAATCTTTACACGACCTAAAACACTTTCCGGACACGGTTGCCAGTTAGGGTTAGGGTTACCGAAAAGCTGATATAATACCACCTATTTCTTCCCACTTTCCGCCCACTCCCCTGTCCCTCTACTAACTGAGTATTTACATCAGATGTTCCCCGTTCCTCTCTCAGGTGGCGTGCAGTAACTGGAAGCGCATCATGATCGTCCTGAGTGAGAGTCTGCTGCGGGACGGCGTTCCTCAGAGAGACCCGCTCTCCGTCCCGAAAGACCTGGTGCACAACAGCAGCATGCACTTCACCTTCAACAAGTTCTGGAAACGCTACGGCAAGTTCGCTAAGCACCTCATGAAGGTCTGTACAAATAATACACCTGATATCATGTTGTCGCACCTGCCAGCTTTCATTCATTCTGGGTGATCAGTTTTATTTTTAGAGTAGCGTTTTTTATTTTTACGTAATTTCAAAAGAGTTGTAAAAGTATAAAAATAAATTTTAAAAAGTTCAAATATATTAATTGTTAGGGAATCATTTGCCCTTCTGTTTATTGCTGGTCAACATTTCTGTTAAAGTTTAAATCTTCCGGACAAAATTAGAAAAGTGCCGGTCAAATTTGTTCTTTGTTATTTATTGAGCTTTAAAACGAATGAATAACGACTCTATATAATAATATAAGAATAATACACGGAGGACGGAGCCTCTCTTTTCCTCCCCCTCTCCTCACAGCCCGTCAGTATCCGTGGTCTCATGCAGCTCGCTGATCCAGTAATGAGTGACCCGACAGTAAAAATAAACATATTTACAACTAGTTTAGGTAGTTTGAGAGGTAATTGAAATAGCTAAGGGTGATGATCTAACTTGAAGTGTGTGTTTTGTTCCGCTCATCGCTCCATCACAGCGGGCGGAGCTGCAGGTTATCATGCAGAGCTGCGTGTATCAAATCTAGCTGGAAGCTCCTGCTGGGTGCACTGTCCTGCGAGATACCGCGACCTGGCTCGAAACACTGGGGCTATTGCGTCATCGTTATCAGGAAATGATCGTTACAGGGCGTAGACACGGAGCCGTTTGCCCCCCCAGAGCGTTTCGTCCGCAGACCTACCCACCTTGGGACCCGTTATCGTTATCTGCGTTTCCCTGTCGGCCTCGTGTGGCCGAACCGTCTATCTGATAGAGAACTGTAGCAGATACGACCGTTATCGTCCTCGTGTGGCCGGGGCATAAGTTACATTACATGACATGTTGTACTTCATCTTCCCTTCAAATTGTGGGGTGACATGCCATTTTTGCAACTTTTATTTGTCGTTTTGTCTAAGGCACAAAGTGACAATAAACTTTCAATGAACGACAAAATGCTGTATAATTTATGGAATTTCGGTTTCTATCTGTAAGTTTGTAACAATGACATCTTAACAAGACGTGCGAATCATCGATTGAGTTCAAGAACAACCAGCACGACTTAAATGTAGTTCCAGTCTTCATAAAGACTATCAGCTCACCTTAGGGATTAGTATTGGATTAGTCAAGTCGGGATTTAATTCCATATAATTTAATAGGGTCTTTGTATACCTGTACCTATTTTGTGATGGAAAACGGGTGGTTCGTTTATGGACACCTTGGTCCACCCACCCTTGACACTCCGTATTTCAACTTGGAGAATCCCGAACCAGACAGACCTGACAGAAGGTTTTTCCAGATATTTATCTTCTATACAACTACCTCCTCGTGTCCTTGGGGAACCTCCTACCAGTGTCTTCCAACAAGGTCTTTCTATTAGACACGAAAGAAATCATCCCCGATCAAATATGCAAGAAAGTGTGAAAGACTACTAGCAAACAC